TAGAAAAACAAAAATTTGCCGAGCCCGGTGCTTACAAGTCACTGGGTTGTGAGGGTCGTCATTGCGCCAATTGCGGCAAATGCCGTGATTGGTACTATACTGGCGATCCACAAACTTGGCAGTGGATCGGAAATGTCAACAATTGGATAAAAGACGATTGGAATCGTTGGCACAATGGTGATTATCACAAGCGCTTCCAACGTCGTGATGGCTATACATGTACTTCTTATTATTCTTCTGGTCATTTTAGTTTTGATTTTGATGTTTGTTTGTGTGAGGACAACAGGCGAGTTTAAAGTTATCCAAAAGTTATTGTGGTTTTTTATAAAATAGAAGTGGAAAAGTGTGTGTTTAGTGTAATGGAAGCGCTTATTGTAATTAAAAATCTTTATTAATGTGTGATAACATATTTTAAAGTTCGTAAACATCGAGCCAGAAGCGCGAGCGTAGCCCGCGCATAAGTAGGAGTACCCTCGGAGGGTTGTATGTGAGGGTCATGGGGCGGGGGGAAGGGGGGGGCAGGACCCCTCTTGTGAGGATGTGTGGAGTAAAGTCGCCTGTTGGGGGGGTTCGAGGGCTTCGCCCCTCGGCCGCTTTAGAATTTATGGCTTTCGTAAGATGAATAGCATGACCAGGAATTCACGGCGAGGCGTATTTGGTAAGCTTGAGTCAACAACAAGTTGTTCTGGCATTTTTAAGTTTCATTAGTTAATGCCTGATTCAAAATAGACTTGTGGTGTTTTATTTGAATTTTTTCTGTAGTTTGAATTTGTGTGGAGATATGAAATAAAAGGACAGAGATTAGGTGATTGAAAGGGTAAGTATGAGAAATGTACGTTTTAGTTGATTTTGCGAATTATTGTTTGGAATACATCCAAAAATCATGTGTTTTTTGTTTTGGATTTCAAGTATAACGATTTCTTTAAAAGTTATGTAAACTAAATGATTTGCTGTTAACAGTTGTTCTTAGAATGCAGTAATGGCTGCTAAGCTTAGTATAAAAGCAGCATTGGAAGCTTCAGATTGATTCTTAAGTTACAGCTGTCTCTAGTTTGAGGCAAATCTTAACGTGTGTCAGGTTATTGATTATAGGATGTGTCAGTGTTAATGGTGGTCTCTTTTTGATGCATTCAAAGTTATATTCTAGTTGAATAGCATAAGCGATGATTTATCTATCTT